TATATATATATATTTATTTGATGAGCTTTAGTATGCATATTCTGATAATTTTTTAAAAATTGGGCATTAGATATATACCACCCAATTTTTATATATTTACATGTCCAACATCTAAATTTAATTTTCTTATATCTATAATATCCAAAATTTTCATATCACATAAAAAAAATATTATTACTTAAATTTTAGGAAATAAAATATTTTTTTGATGCACATAAAATGACACTTATATCAAAAATCGGTGTTTGATATTTGATATGGGGATACAGAAGGATTGAGTGTTATGTAAATAAATTTTCTAAACGAGAGAGAGAAGGGCGGCCCAACTCCTTGATTATCAGAAAAATACGAAAACCTCGGTCTCCGCTCTCTCTCTCTACCGGGTCGCCATGGCGGGTCTCGGGGCCTCGATTGCGGAGTCCGATCCCGACCACCTCAATATCGAAGAGTACCTCGCTGCGGAGTCCATCCAGCAGGCACCCAAGAAGCTTCAGCTGTATCCTCTCTCTCACTCTCACAATTCTTACACCTTTGTTGAAAAATTTCGACCATCTTCTAACGAATCCTTTGCACTTCATTCAGGAGCGATTTGCTCAACATATCCCCTACACTAACGGAGGCTGCAGGTGCCATCGTCGATGTGAGCTTCGTTTTTCATTTGCACCTTACCATAAGAAGATCTGTAATTAAAATGTCAATAGATTTTGGAGCAGTTCCAGGAGGTTAAAAATTTGACGTGTTTTGAATAACGTGCACAATGTTTATTTGTCTTTTACTCTAATTAGTGTGTCCGGTGATTCTGTTAGCTTATCTTGGACGACTGTTTCGGTCTATAAAGGTCTTATGTTCAGCAGTTATTTGAGTGTTGTGGCAAGTCGGAGATTTTACGCATTCATGGTGTCTTAGATGGTTCTTACTTGTTTATAAGTAGAGTAGCAGTCATCGATCTTAGTTTCATGATGTTAAGCGATTCAATCCACGACTTTGAAGTAGCTAATCGCTGTAAGTTCTGTCGCATTGCCTTTTCCTTGTTTCATTTTTTGAACTCAGGTTTTCCATTTGTCGCCCAAGTATGGGAATTTGAATTGATTAATTGTTCAGTCCTTTTTTTTATTTATGCTATAAAGCAGGACAATAACGGAAAAAAAGATGGTAAAATTCCCGGATAGATTAGCCGTGAGATAAATTTTATATAATATGCTCATGCCTTCATTACCTGTAAATCCCACAACTAGTTCACATTATTGTTGATACCTTGTTGAACATGCCATGCTTCATCACTTGGAGTGCGCCTGATGAATCACTAATTTGTCGTATTATTTGTGTTTTTATATACTACGCAAGTAAGGGGCATTTACATACATACCACATACTTCTTGTGTATTTACATATCTAACACCTAAACATTCATATTTACTTGTATGTCAGTCAATTATTTAACATCACATCAAAAATACCACAATCACTATCTTTTTAAAAGTGAAATGCACCTTTTCATGCATAGGTTTATGATACCATGATGCTATAAGTGTAAATATCAAACTTTGGGTGTGACATATGTATAAACATAAGAATTGCGTGGTATGCTTGAAAATTTCCCTACGATTAAATGAAATAATTGAATAGAAATTTTGGTAGACATATGCAACAAGAAGCCTTAATTTTATAACTGATTTTTCTCATATTTTTCTTCAAATTAAAAGTCATGAACGCCAACCCCTGGTAATTTCTATTTGTGCTTGTCCCTCTATCCTTTCTCTCAAACATGAGCTAACCCTACACATGAGAGCAAGATTGGCAAGATAAACTTATAATAATAATATTAAAAAAGGCATGGACAAGTCCATTGTTAGGAAATATAGAACAAGAAGAAAGGAGAGAGTAGAAATAAGCGGGGAGGAGAGAAATTCAACTTAGATGTATAGAGTATTATAATATTGGGGCATTTACCTGCATAGCACACAATTCTTTAGTATTTACTTATCTCACGCCTAAAATTTTATATCTTCACACATAACACACAAAGCTTTAATATGACATAAAAAGCAGCACTATTTTAAAATTGAAATACACTTTTTCATGCATAGTTTTAAATCACCCAAGTGTATGTATGTAAATATGATAGTTTAGGTGTGAGATATGTAAATACCTAAGAATTGTGCGCTATGTAAATTTTCCACATTTGCTAGCTTTTTGTTGAAACTTGACAGATGGCTAGTATAGAATGTTTTATGCTTTGCAAGTATATTACATTGCCTTTCCCCTTTTATAAGACAACTTATTGAACATAAGTTTTTTTTTCCAGGACTCCTTCACACGTTGCTTTAAATCAAATTCTGAAGAACCCTGGAATTGGAATATATATTTGTTTCCATTGTGGTGCTTTGGAGTTGTGATTAGATATGGATTTCTTTTCCCACTGCGGTGAGTGCTTCTATATTGTTTATTTCTCTAGTCTTTTTTCCTAATTTGATGTTTATTCTTTTTGTTTTAGTTTTGGCTTTTTGTACTTTCTATTTGTTCTTTTATTCTCCTAAACACAAGTATTGTTATTTTGAGGCAATTTTCCTTGCAACAGGCAGAACTTTTTAATTTATAAAACCAACTCTCTTTTATCTTTTTTTATCAAGTCGCCACCAATATACCGAAATTGACAACAAAACTACAAACTTTTTATCTCAATAGTCCGTCAGATTCCAATGATTTGATTGCTCCACTTAAATTTTTTTACTTGTGTTAGATATTTAATTACATTGATTTTGGTGGTATGCATGTAAACATCCCATTGTTTTTTAAAACCTTAAAATGGCAGTTGGATTATTTTTTGCCCCAAGGGTCTAATTTGTTCATTATAAATATTGTGAAGAATACAATTATCCAAGTGTAAGATGCTTTTTGTAAAAGAGTCCATGATCTAGAACAAAGCATGCATGACAAAAACGGCTATTCTATACTTGCATTACCGGGATTTTATAATTTGAGGCAACAATGGAACAAATGTTGCATGGCCCCTATAATGCAATCATCTTGCCATTAATCGAACTAAGAAAAGGTTTAGTAATATTACACAATAATTTTCATTAATGAATTTAGAAATTTCGACGCGATCATTTAGCTCATACATTTGAATGTTAAATTCAGTGTTTTAATTCCCTATATACATGCTTAGGATGCTTTTATTTTTGTTTTAGGATGATTTCTAGGGGTGTCTTAGGGATTATGATATTTGTTTTTATTTGTTGAATTCATTTTCCTTCTTCAGATTTCTTAAATATGATAAAATAATAAACTTATTATAGAGCTAGTTTTCATTCCTGCTTTGATTGCTTGAAATAGATGCTAAAATCCATTTGATTTTTTTTTTTCGGCTTCCAAAATTCTCTTTATTTCCCATTCTCACTGCTATGGTATCACTATTTTTTCATTTTTGGTCCCTTCATAAAACTTTAATGGCAATTATAGAGATGTATTAATTATTAAAATTGAGGAGAAAGCTCTAAAACTATTGATGACATTTTCTTATTACTCATCGTGGTACCAGGTAGCACAACAATAAAGCCTTAAACTTTTATCAAATTGTCGGCACAAAAAAGAGAAAGAAAAAGATTGTTTGGAGGGTCGCCCGTAAGAAGCTGTCGGCAGCCGGAATCGAAATCCCGTTACCCGCTTCGGAAGGACTTTTTAATTTACGTATATATATATAATTTTAGAAAAATATGAAATCAAACTGACCTCATATTTT